ATAATGAAAGATTTGAAGAACTTAATTGTAAGTAATTAATAGATACTGACAAAGTTATTAGCTTAAGAATTCTGAATGTTAATTAATATTTAACTAGATAATCAGCAAATTTCACAAAAACCAGATAAACTTCAAGGAATTTCAAGTGAATTTGAAGCTGCTGCTTGGTTAGCTAAATACCTACATGTACTTGATTTAGCATTTGAGATATACAATGCAATGTCATGAACTTTGAAAAATTCTTAAGAAACTTCATCAAAATTAAAGTTTTTGTTGAGTGATAGAACATCATTAATTATTTTAGTGCCAGATCAGGAATATATTTGCAATATTTATTTATTTATTTAATTTTAACTATATAATTATAAATTAAATAGACAATGATAGCAAATTTAGAACTTGAAGCAAAAGCATTATTTTTAAGAACAAGGAATAATACTCCTGCATTGTATACTGAATTAGCATCTGCTGTATGTGGTATCTCCAAAGTTGACAAGCAGATGCCAGTATTAATTAAGAAGGTTGGTAGTTGCTTTGATGATTATCGGTATTGCCTCCTTGCAAAGCTTCGAAAGAGAGCTGATGAATGTTTGAATCAATTTGGGTAAGTTTTAAAAATAAAAAAATAATGAACATTGCTATTTACCACCAGTGGTGATATCACCAGGATACTATATCTCAAAAATTTACTTGCTAACTCATGTCAGGAGTATTAAGTAAAAATGGTCAGACCCTAAAAATCTAAAAACAATATATAAGAAGTGGTGGTATCACACTAGTGGTAAATACTAAAATTGAAAATTAAAAACTAAGCAATTAATATTGCTTCTACTGATGCCCAACTTCTGGACTTTATTTCTGAGGATATATGGTGTGAGATACTTTCTCAATTTCTTGAAACAACAGAACAGCCTGCTCTTCGTAGTAATAAAAGAATATGGAATATCTTGAGTGATTTTGTTTGAGAAGCCATTAAGAAAATTATTATTTCAAAATTAGAGAAAACTGATATGAAAGTAGCACTTCGTAGTTGTGATGCAATTACTGT